TCGCTGTATTTATGCGTTTCGCTGAACACAACGCGTGAAAAATATCTGTTATTTTTATGCGATATCTTGATCCCATATGAATGAAAATATCCCATAGTAATCTCTGGTGACAACTGAATGTGTTCGAATGTGCGGTCAACGCCGAAAAAAACATTGCGTAGATGCTCTCAATTTCAATACGGTTTCGACTTTCGACGAACGTAAAATGATATCGACAATAAATTCTCGATTCGACGTTGCCAATTCTTTTTTCTTCAGCTTTGCAACGGCATCAAGCTCCACCAAACTCGCTATTTCTCCCTTTGGGAGTATAAAAAATTGTACGGCACAGTGTGTAAACATGTGACGCTTTAAAGCGGTTTCAATGATTTTTTCTTTCTCTCTTCTCACGCAACCTTTGATCTCGCAGCCTGAATTCCTGAATCAATCCTTTTTGAACATGAACACGCATACAGCTGACAATATTTCACGGATTATAATTTATTTTTGTGGGAAGCAGTTTCGACATTACGCCGTAAAATGTATCGTGAAATGGCCTGTAACGAAATATTTACACTAGCACCATTTGTGGAACGAAAGAAAAAGCTCGTGAATAGACTCACTATTCTGAACATGAATGACACAACAACAATGATAACATGCGCTTATCTTATTCACTTTTGTGTGTGCGGTGTTTTCTATTCTTCTTCTTGACACGCTGCAAAATCGTGGCAGAGAACAGATCAAACGTCACTATCAGATTTTCAAAAGCACAGACTCCATTGTACTGAATTGCGTCGGAATCACATGTAAACGTCGCGATAAAAATAAAAGTTTCTCCGAGAATTAGATCTATTAAACGACAACTCAGACATGCCCCAACCATGCTGATATAACATTATTATCGAATATGGCCCCACCACTTGAAGTTCTCACTTTTTATCATTGACTCGGAAAATATGGAAACGCACAGAAGAAGAAGCACGAGAGAAGAAAAAAAAATAATTGCATGGTAACCATAAAATGCCGTTATACTTTTAATAATAACGATCGTTCTACTGATGGAGTGTGCGAAAAGAAATGACGATAAAAAAAAGAGAAGCGAGCTGACAAAACTCGAACCTCTGACAGTTCTGGGGTCGATGTCAATTTCAAGCGAACCAAAAATTGCTTCTTCTGCGTGCTGAAAACGCTTGTCGGTGGAACATTTTTTTTTTGTTCTAAATATCTTTACATAATTTCCTTTGTGGAAACTATTCCGCTTTTGAGTTTTTCAGGATTTCTTTTGTTGAAATGCGATTTCAACATACTTTTATTTGTTGTTGTTGGTTTTACACTTTTTCATTCACTTCAACCATACGTTGTGCATAGGCGTGTGTACTCTGCTTCTGTTGTTTTACCAAACATGTGTTTCAAGATTGCTGAGCATCTCAGCATTTCGTAAGGCACGGATATATCCGAGCATATCGACGACGAATACTGTATAATACAGTGGCGTGTGTTGCTACGTGCAGCCGCAACGACTCGAACGAAGTGTGTTCAGTTGATGTGGCTGCACGCAGAAACAACATACACATTCCGGTCGAGTCATTGCGGCTGCACGTAGCAACACACGCCACTGTATTATACAGTATGCGTCGTCGATATGCTCGGATATATCCGTGCCTTACGAAATGCTGAGATGCTCAGCAATCTTAAAACACATGTTTGTGTTTTACTCAACTCTTTTGTTTCGAAATGTTACTTTCCTTCTATTTTGCAAATGTTCTGCATTTTTTGCCACTCTCGTATTTTTTTCTCGCTTTCAGCAAATCTCAATTTTTTTCGCTTTCAAATCACAAAAAAAGTAATCGGAAGCTTTGCAAAGAACTTTGGTTACTTGTTTCAGCACAAAATGTTTATTCTGCGAACGAGAATTATCAAACAATATTTTTTCCTTTGAAATATGGCACGTGGATGTTTCGTTCGCTTAAATTTGCTTCCATTCATTTTTCATCGTCGACATTTCACTTGTGCTCGCACACTTGCTGTGTGCTTATTTACGTGCATTTGTGTGTTCGTTAGCCAAACGGGGGACCGATAGACACACCGGACCGATAGTGAGCACGATTGTGCACCAAACAAAAGCCTGTCGAAAAGAAATTGTCGGGTGTAAGTATGTTGTTGATTGCGGCCCATTAAACAGATATGTTCTTTGGAGCATCGCTTTTGATGCGTATGACGCGAGACACAGCTTCGCATTATGTTGCACGCATAGTTTTTTTTCTCTCTTCCCTTCTCGTTGTTGGTCTCCCCTTGCGGTTACTACCAAATAAGATAACGAAACCGTACAAAACCAAATTGTCGAAATTGAGCACATTACTCGAACGATGAACACCACCAGTAACACACAAAAAAAACGTGTGTATTCGTAACAATTGTTCAAACAAACTTCGTGTCGTGTGTATTGTGTAATTTTATTTTTATTTTTTCGTGATGCGCACTTTTTCGAAGGGCGGGCGGTGTATCTACTATCTGTTTATCACTTTTGGTGTCTTCTTTTGTTTGCGAATGTTTGGGTTCGATAAAAACCACAAAATAGCAAATAGCGGTGGGAGTGCGAGCATTTTGGGATCAGCATGGCTTCAGAGCCGAAGACAAAAACAGCAAAAACAGCAACAACAATAACAAAACTTTCAAAGTGCTTTGATGATGATTTTACAATGCGGCAGCCAATGTAATGGGATGCCACTTGAACATTTTTTTTCTCTCTTAACTGCAACAATCTCGTCTCGGATTTTCAGTGTGTTTTGATTCAAAGCGCGTTTATATACTGCTCATATTTTATTATGATTCCATCTCAAACGTTTCCGGCACTTAAAAAATTTCCTCTCTTAATTCGTATATCAAAAGATAAAAGTTGGCAAATGCCACACGATACCGACACACAGAGTATATCAAAATACATCGAGAGCCTATAGACTAGCATACACACAAGGCGAGTATGGCATTGTCACGAAGTTCGCAGACAATTAAGTTTTTCAGTTTGAAATATTGCTGAATGTTCAGTTCGGCAAAGAATGTTGGGGTTTTTTTCTGGCAAAGCATATTAAAACGGCGCGTTCGTGGTACAATTTTAAAACGGCGCTACGACGCGATACCGATTGCTCAGAGTGAGAGAAGAGACGAGCTCAACAGCTTGTCACTTACTGCTGTTACATCCACGATAACCTATCTAATCGGGGGAGTCGATGTGCGCCACATTCATCTTGCTTCATTTGGACATAGTGACGGCCTCAAACATTTCACAACAACAATAAATTATTCGACAGAGAATGCCTAACCTCGGATATTATGCTGTAAAATGACACATTTTTTTTCTTTCTCATCTCTTCGCGTCAGCTCTCCAAAACCGACCGAAAGCTAACGGCGTATGCACGAGATTCACCATGCTAAAGTATGTAATCTATTTTTCAAAGGGCAAATTCAATGAATCGAGATTTGTTCACGTTCGCCATTGAACACATGTTTCTTTTATGTTGAGCTGATGGCGACGCCACGACCGCTCACTTCTTTTTTTCTCTGGTTCGTTCGATTTTTCACTCGATGTTTTTTGCTTCCCCTTTCATAATATCGTAATTTTTGTGTGAAGTAAATCGGATTAAGAAATCCCTAATCATAAACACGTTTCAGCTTTGTACAGCAAATATTCAACGCTTGAAATATAAAAATGCGACGGTTTACATGGTAACGGCTCTAAGAGTACAAGCTAAGTCAACTGCCGTTGTTTTCGTTGCGATGGCTCATAACTCATTTGCGATTCATGCGAATCGAATCGTACACATGACGAAAGGTCGGTCTCCGCACAATTTCGGATTACACATTTAACGGCAACCGTTTGCAATAAAAATAGACATCAGCAGCAAGAACAACGATGCTCCTTGAACGGCACCCATAGACACGGAGATGGAAAAAAAGGAGGTGTCGAGAATGTGAGCAAAATAATATGAGGTAGAACAACGCGGAATAGCTTCATATAATATTTATACGTGCAATAACCGACGTTGACTTTTTGCTCTTTGATTTTTTCGAGATGGAATCCGATGCTTGCTTGGGTGTGGTGCGTGTGTGCTATGTGTATTCCCTTTTAGACTATTTGATCAGTCAATTCATGACTACTTAAACGATTAGGTATGTTCGAGTGTAATGCGTAAAAGTCAAAACCATACCAATTTCATTAGACGAAAGTGTATCTGAAAGGCATTTTCGGTCTGCGTTGTCGCTTAGCATCTATTTATTGGTGCCCGGTCACATGCTTCAGCTTAACATCGAAATGTAAATGTTAATGGATTACGTGAAATCGGTTTGTCTGCTGCGCAAACGGCACAAACGCAATAACAATTTTCCTTCCTATCAACATTTAATACGGGGTTTAACGCACATACAAAACTTTATTTCTTTCTCTTATTCTTCGTTTTTTTCTCGTTGTGTATCGTTTGTCGAAAATCAATTCAACAATCACCCGAACGAAACTCTAACGAGTTAATGGGGAGCACTTAAAACTCTGCTCAAGAGGTTTTTGCATGAAAACCGAGAATAAGAAGAAAAAAAAATATTCAAAGTCGGTTATTTATTGGCGCGAGCGCGTTTTTGCCTGCTCGTAATTCCATTGTAAATATACATTCATTACTGCAATTAACTAGACAAGGATCTGTCTGCGAGTCAAACAAACAACTCAATGCGTTTGCTTATTTCGACGTTTTTCTTCGAGTTGAACCTCGGTTTTGGCTGGAAAGATGTATTCCGAAAATTAAAATTGATCGTCGACCGCCTTAATCTCCTCACACTGCAGCAAATACAAAAGCTGGGTCTTTAATCAAATCCTTAATCAGTTGCAAAGAAATAGTACGCCGATTTCACATACGCACAAATAAAATGCGAAGCCAATTAATTTTAATAAGTTTTATCTTTGGTATAAACGCGTTTATCTGATGTGCGTTGGGAAGTGCACAAAAAATGGGCTGAAAAATATTTCTACTTACCGATCGGTGGCAACAGCAGCAGACTCACCATCACAGCGGTTACGTAAAACGTTTTAGTGACAATGCGGGTAATGCTGGCATTTTGTTGGCACCATAATTCATATTGCGGTTTCTGACCGTTACGCGTCATGACCATAGCATTTCAATTCGTTTACATTATTCGTTTGAAATGGTAATTTATTTACTTTGCGCGAACAAGCGTACGTCACTCGGTGTGCGATTTTGCGTGAACTGTTTGCTGCTGCTTTTTGCTCTTGGTGTCCGTTTTTTTTTGCTTCGACGGGAAATTATTTTCAGATATCGTTTTTGGTCGATGCTCTTTTTCAATTTATGTTATCATTTGATCATTTGGCAAAGTCTCGAAAAGTTTTTTTTCTGCAACGAGTCTCGTCTATCTTTCTCTATATATTCAGTTTTGTGAATGGGTTCTGCCAAAAACAAATTAACAACTCGTCCGAAAAAAAAATCAAATGGTCCATTCAATTGTTTTAATGCACTTTCACGTTACCAAGAGAGAAAAAAATTGTGCCACAACAATAACAAACGAGAGAAGGAAAAAAACAAACAAACACATAACTTTTTCTCGCAATTATGTATGGCCGTCAGCCATAATATATTTTTCTATTGGACGCATATTCATTCGCCCGAATGCCGGTCTCTGCAAAACGAGCGAACAATTCAACGGATTTCTTTTGCTCGCCGATTTTTTGGTGTAGTATTTTTCTCTCACTTTCTATCTCTATGTCAACTGGTTATAGTTTGCTGTTTGTTGGTTTTTCAGTCGATCAAAGACGAGCATAAATTTTTGTGGGGCGTTTTCGTATTAACGAATGGCAACAAAACAGACAAACCCGAAATGAAAGGGGAAAAAATGGACAAATTGAATTTGGTTGAATGGTTTTCAATTGCCAAAAAATACACAAAAACGACCACGTTCACTTATCGCATGCTCCTTTTTCCCCACTTTTTTATTGTTATTTTCTTGTTCGCTGTTCGGCTTTTTTCCACTTTTATTTCCCGTGATTCGCAACTATATTGCACAGAGTTCTCTCACTCGTTACTGTTCATTCATTTATGAACATTGCTTTTGCATTTGCAAATCATTGACGATTGCTTGTTGTTGGCCATTTGCTTCCATGCACTTTTACAGTCAATAACTTTTATCGCTGTCTATGTGTTGTTGTATTTCCGTAACGATGCTCATTTTATCCCAAAGGTTTTTTTTTCTCTCCAAGGAATTTCAATGGATTTGGTGCATGCACTTGTGCGATTCCTCTTTTGATTCTCAATCGATGCTCAACGCTCGCAACTCGACTCCATTTAGTAGAGGTAATTATACCCAGTTTTCTTCTATTTCTTTCACTCGAACCGAGAACCTGCAATAGAAAAACCGTACAGTAAATTAATTCAAATTCAATTTGAGATTTATTGCATTGAATCGGATTCAGGACACGATACCATGAGAAGAAGAAAAAGCGGCAAAGCAACAAAACACTACAAGCGCAAGAGATTGAACGACTTGGAACTTATACAAATTGGAACAATCCGATTTGGCACGAGCAAAAACAATAACGACGATTTCATTGGCAAGAGCGAGATAGAGACGGAGAATAAGCACAAGAGACAAGTCACAAACAATGCAATTCAACAGGTGGGCCATGGGTTTTGGTTCTTGTTTCGAAAACATCGATTCCGTGGAAAATTGCTTACGCAAGAACTTGCGACGGTACTACGAAATTGCACTTCGTTCAATGTTCGCTAAACAAATTGAATCATCAGCATAAAATTGATAAAATGAAGGAGAAGACGATGGTGAATGGATGAAAAGAGTGAACAAGAACATTAACCTCTTCATATTCGATGTGCACTAATATTTCGATTTATGAGGACAACTTCATTATTTATCAAGCACTACTATAGCAAGCATATTCAAACAACCACTCCTTAAACAATGCCGTGCATAAAGAAAACACTCGGTGTGTGTGTGTGTGTGTGTTTGTGTCCGGAAATTGGAAAGGAACGACGAATGGAAATGAAAATTGTGCTAGCAAATGGCTATATATAGCTCGTGAATAATGAATCGCATTTTCTATGAAACGCATTTTCATTCGATTTCCAATCGATATCAAACAACGATATTGCATTTTGTTCCGTATTCCTTGAGTGTGCTACTACATTCATCATGCAAATCTGTTTTCAGTATGACCAAAAAAAAATATATATATTTCTTCCTGTAATACGCTCATTTGTTCGCTCATTCAATTGCAGCTAATGGCAGCACAGCCATAAAAGGGTATTAAAAATGCAAAGCTCCTATTTATTATTATTGTTATTACATCAATGTAAATATTGAACAATCGACTGGTGAATGCGATCCTAATGATTTTCGATATGCAATCAAATGAATTCCATCAATTGCATTTTTATAGCTCTCTCGATTCAAGCGCTCTTCCATTCATCGATGCATGTCGCACACACAGTTCATCATCAATCATCATTGCAACAAAGAATCTTGTGTACGGTTTGTGCGCGCAAAGAGTTTGTTAGAACGCTGGTTCCTGTCAAAGAGCGGAAAGTAGCCGGGGAATGTGGAAACGGTGCTTTCGAAATCAAATGTAATTCGTAAAAAAAGCTTTTGCAATGAAATACCGAAATAAGACCGAACATTTTCAATGCTTCAATGTGAAGCTCTCTTGGAATTCATTACGTTTCACTCAGAACGATACTCAAATGCGGAGGCAAAAAAAAATTGAACAACTCAATGCAAAAAAACTTATTTTAAGCAACTTGAAAATAACTGGAAAAATTCGCTGAGAATTATTTGGTGCGGTTGAAAAATATTGAAATTATTGCAGTCGACTATGGCGGCAGCGACACACATTCGGAGGCAAAAAAAGTGAAGGAAACAGAATTTTGAATGCATTCTATCATCCATCATGGAGTGTTTCCATGAGGCAAAGATTTAAGGTGCAATAATAAACTCGGTATGGAGCGAGAGAACGAAGATGGCACAAAAAAAAATGGAAGAAGCAAGAAAATTGGTAAACTAGAGCGCATTCACCAAATTATATGCACATAGCGTACTTCCAACTGATATATCATTCTGTATTATTATTATTTTCGCGTATTACAAGTGCCGAAGAGAAAAAAAAGATCCAGAACACACACATGTAACGAGCGCAAGAGAGATTCGAATGAAAAATAATAATAAAACGGCAACCAACTACTTCATGTGGAGCGCGACTCGTGTATGCATCGTGTGCAATTTTCGCACTATATCCACAATTGTTTCGCTTCTCACATCGGCATTTCGCTATGAAAATAATAATAACACAGTAACGATACCAAGAGAATAAAAAAAAAACAGGAATATGATTGCGAATATGATGTAAGAGATTCAGTTTATATCGTTGACTGATGAGATGCAACGGAGTCGCTGTTTCGTTGTCAATTTTTACAGCTACACAACGGGTGCTCGCTGCTTTCCGGTTTTTTGTTCGAAGAATTAAAATTGAGTTTCTTGTAGAACATGGCTCATTTTTCTGCTCATCGGAAGATGTGCAACCGAATTTGATAAATTTCGTAAAAACGAACCTGGAAAATAGGTTAGCAGAGACGAAAAAGAGGAAGAAGTGAAGAGAACGAGGAAGAAATGATGAAAAGCACAAGGAATAAATACTAAAGCCGAATATTGCAGCTTGTGTTTGGCGACCGAACCAACGGAATATGAGCTCAAGCAGCGTTGCTTGCATGAATTCAGAGCGTGAGCCAGCGAGAGCATGAAATGTATGGGAAGAAAAGAAAACCGTCGATAGACATAAATTTATTGCTGCAAACTATATTTCAACTGTTCTGGAGGGTGGATGGAGAGGAGCGAGGTGGTTATTCTATTCTCATTTGGTGTTTGAAGAGAAGTCGAATGCGGTATTCAATTCATCGTCATTCGTCTGTAAATACCAATATTTTATCGATATACCAACTGTATCGAAACTGCGAACGCCTGCTAATGTCATCTGCGACGCAGGCCCACACAGCACAGCACTCAGCACACACAATGCCAGAATATGGATTCGATTAATATTCCAAATACTTTGTTATAAGAATGGCCATTCTTTTTCATTCTCTCTTTTCATAACACGTATGTGCAATGAATAGTTTATTGTGTGTGTGTCGTGAACCTGAATCTTAAAAGCGTATCAGCTGCAGCAGGAGGTGTAAGAAAGAAAGAGAATGAATGAAAGAAAAAAAAACGTCCATAGAAATGTGAATAAATCTTGCAAATATTCCAGATTGGATTGAAACGAACAGAACGAGAACACCAAACACATCATTTTCGCAAATATTGAAATCGATATAGATATATATTTCTATTGAATATTCCGTGTCGGTTGCACACTACAATATGCCCTGCCCATACTGATGGGCCCAAAATGTGATCATTCATGTGAATTGGTGTCAGTTTATCCATTTAAATAAATTACAAAATAAATAAAGCACACAGACGAATAATAAGAACGAAGGATGGTCGGACGGACGGATAGAGAGGGGATGAGAGAGGGTTTGAGAGGTAATACGAGAACGTGAATTCTTATTGTTCAATTTGTGGGATAGTGGACCGGAAAACCCATATTTGATTAGAGAAACCATACATACACATTTCTCAACTTCAACAATTTCCTTTATCGCCTTTTATTTTCAATGCGACATTCTTTCGAATTATTGAGATATTTTTCTTCCTCTCATCCACACCCATTCCATCCATACACGGTAATCATTTTCATGCTATTTTCGCATTTCGATCGCTTATCCATCTATTTTATTGCCATTGATTGTTAAATGTCTCCAGCAAGAATAATCGAGAGAATAATGTTATTTTTCTCTGTGTGTATATAGTACAACGTACATTTCCATCGGTTGACATCGAAAAATGGTTATGGGGCCTACGTTTGCGAACGTATGACCGAGTGAATGAATGTATGCGGTGGTTTGCATTGAATATAACGATAGAGATTATTATGACTGTTCACTTTTATTGATTTTCCGGAATGTGTGTGTGTGGCACACACCGTGTGCGCGGACAGGCGGAGAAAAGAAGAGTTTCGGTATCAAAACATAACGAGTGAAATAACTCTATCAAATGGTAGAACATGGTCTCATTTCCACTGGAAATATTCTATACACACACACACACATTTGCTCTCACAAAAGCGAAAGCCAACACCGAATTTGGCATAAATTGTGGCTTTACATTGTGCGACGCGTGCAGGGGCGAACATTTTACCGCATCGATTTGGCCGTAATAACTCATGTTTTCTTCTTCTTTCCTTTTTTTGCGCCCAAGAAAATTCCGTCCGAATTCCCTGGATATTTGGCATTTAATAAAAACCACATGCTCTGGCCTTCGCCTTTGCTTCACTCTTCGTCTATTTCTGTGCCAGTTTATTGTATTTACGACCGGGAAAACAGATTCAACCGATAAATGCAGGGATATGGGATCAATGAGCTATCTGATCAGATCGATATTTAGATCAGCTTTCGACGAATGCGGTACATTTGGTGTTTTTTCGTCTTTTTTGCTCTTTTGCTCGACGAAGGAAGTGAAAAGCTGGTAAAAATGATGTTGATGCCAACAAAATACAACTGACGGTCCGAAAAATGAGATTCTCAAAACTAAAATATTTGCATTTTTTCCGTTGGCTATTTTTTCTCTCCCTCCTTTTTTCCATGCTCTGTAGATATCCGGTAGCCGGGCCATCTGTGTGCACATTCTTGTTACTTGAGGTGTAAAAATGGAATGTTTAACATAAAAAGAACACCTTCCGTCCAACTATACTCTTGGCTTTTGCACGTAGCACATTTTTATGATACCATAAATTGACGGCATAAGCACTTCAGTGTACTACTGTTTGCGCGAAAAGAAAAAAAAATCATGTTTGGCTCATTCAGGTGCGGCGGGCGAAAAAGATTGAATGAGTTGCTGTGGTTTGAGCATCATCAACGTCCAATGCTTTTCTTTCTATACGTTGAAACATGCTTCTTCTTGTCATTGAATGACGCCGCGGTGTTAATGGTATGCATAATATATTTTTTGGTTAGAGTTAAAGTGAGAAGTACTCGTAATTTACTCGCTTGCTCTGTTCCCCCTTTGTTTCGTCCATTTCGTGCGCAGGCTAATGAATTTCAAAACGGGTGCTAGGAAATCAGACCTTTCAAGCATTAAATTTCATCGTTTACGGTATTCAATAAAACATTTGTCGAAACTTCGTTGTTGTAGCCCAAATTCATTGAAATCTCTACACAAAAATTACGTTGTTGTATTACAGAATTACAGCCACTTAACCTAAATTTCATTTTCGCTTCTTCCGGCTGGTTCGCA